GTTTCGTGGTGGGCGGGGGTGGGGCACCCCGGCGGCGGGGGTCCGGGGGTCGAACCCCTACCCCGGCTTTGCCCCCGGGGGCCTCCGCCTGACAACCCTAATTACAAGGGGTGCTGACTTCTTTCTATGTTTTCTCTTTCTCTGGACTCACATGCAATTTGCTGTTCTGGAGCAACGTGGAACTGGTTGGATTAGGCTCCTAGGGAAGAGGGTCCTTCATGCCTCTTTACCCATAGGTCCCCTAACCTCTCACAAGAACTTGTGCAAAGAGTCATTCAATCATGGACACAGAAATTAAAAGAAAAACTCTCGTCATCAATGTTTCTTCCAATATCCAGGAGTTTACATGTCCTTGTCCATGACCTTAAGGCAACACCGATCATCCCCAGTCCCTTTCTTACTATAAAAAAAAAACTCATATTTCCCGGAAGGAGCGAGTACTCATACAAAGCAGCACTGGTCAGCCCCCCCCCCCGTTTACTAGTTTCCTCAATCCAGAAAGTAGTTTCATTGCAGTTCATCCCAAAAAAGGAGGAGACAATGTTCGAATGCAACGACAACATTACAGACTCGTCTCATCTAGGTCCCTCTTGTTTTCCCCTTGCTTGCCCTTAGCCCACGCAAGTCGTCACAGTTCTATATCTAAGTGCACTGATCCTTATGGGTTTTTCCTGAAGAAGCAACGACTCATACGAATAAGCACCCATGGCCCAGTCCTTAGTCAAAAGTTGCCTCATCTCAATCCATTTAACATAATTCAAGTGCGAAACTCAAAATGGTCGTTGTGCCTGCCCAGGTACCAACCCTCCCCCAATTTCCAGCTATTCCCATCATGCCTGCTGTCCCTTTTTATTGCCCCGGTGTCCTGCGTCGAGCCTCCCTCCTTGCACGGTCCTCCATCTCTTGCTCCATTAGCCTCTTTATCGTCTGTAGATGACGAAGCGTTTCTTCTGAAAAGAAGGTTGTTGGGGATATGTCTTCTCCCCTGCTCAACTTTTCCTTGCCCTTCATTGCCCACTGATAACGCAAAATACTGGACCATTGATCAAACCAATCGCTAAAAGTCGGCCCAAACTCTCTTTTCCATGGGTCCTTTTCTTCCCCTGGGTCCTCCTCTCTTCCTCGATCTTCCCTTGTGGGCGTTGTCACTTCGTCCTCTTCTTCCCCACTACTGAGGTCTATGACCTCGATGGACTCCTCCTCCTCCAACCTTGGCGTTTTCCCCGGGTTCCTCTCTTCCTCCTTGGTGGTATCGCTTTCAAAGGGGAGGACTATTGGCTCCCCCTCCCTTGGTGGTGAAGGTCCCCTAGTCCCTTGCTTTCTCCCCCCCCTGTTCACAACTAGGTTGTGGTCAAACCCCACATACAATTTCCTTTTCCTGGAGCTTGATTCTCCAGCCTGTCTCGACGACTGACCCTCAGTAAGCCTATTGATGACGTTGCTGTCGTTTTCATTTCCAAACTTTATTTTTGCCATTTGCTGTTTGCTCCTTGCATGGTCCTGTTCATGCATATCAGTTACCGCAACCCCTCATACACACGCATTCCCTTCCACTCCCATTCGCAGCTTTGGACGCTTCCTTAGAACTCTTGCTTGCCCCCATATAGTTGGTAGTCCCATTATCCCTTAGAACTCTCGACACATTGTCCCAACCCATAGGCGCCCCATGTAGGCAGTCCACAGCATCACCCCACAAAAACTATAGTACATTGTCCCAGCACATAAATGCCTCGTGTAGACAGTCCCCAACTTTACCCCACAAAAACTATAATACACTGCCCCGTGCTCCCAAGCCCAGTCACAGTCAGCCCAGGCAGTCTCCCCACGTTCCACAAAAAGCAAGACACACAAAAGAACAATCCCTGTGGTCATGATCACTTCCACAGGGAGGCAATCCAGAACTTATAGCCAGCTGCCTGCCTTTCAGGTTGTCAATTCCCCAGTTTCGTTGTCCTGGGCTTCTTGTAACCATTATTCCACCGGATCCCTGCTAAAAAATCTGGCGAGTCTCTGTCCCGGAAATGGTCCTCTTATGCTAGTACCATCAAGATCCTCAAGTTCGAATGTATTCAGTCCCACCCGCTTAGCAATCCTGTAAGGCTCTTTGAATCTCTTTCCCAGCTGCCCAGACCATGTGCTTTCAAGGGCCGAGTTCCTAACTAGCACTTTCTCCCCCACCTGGAGTGGCTCCTTACGAATGTTCTTGACCTGGTCCCACCTTGCTTTGTCCTTCATTCGGCTATCCGTTACACGGTTAACTACTTCCTCCAATGCCTCCTCATTCCTGGCGACCTGCTGGCAACGTGCGGTGATTAACTCCTCCGTGGTCAAGTGTGGATTATCGTCTAACCTGTTCCAGGTAGGGAAGAGGGCCTCCACTGGGAAGTCAATCTCCCTTCCATACCATAGCTCCGCTGGAATGCATCTCGTCGTTCTCTTTGGTGTCATGTTCTCAGAGAAGACTGCCTGCTTAAGGTACCGTGGCCAGTTCCCCAAGTTGTCTGTTGCAAGCTTAGCGATTGTGTTTTTCAAGGTCCGGTGCCCCCTTTCTACTGGTGCATTTGCCTCAGGGTGGTAGGGCTCAGTGATCTTGATTGGTACGCACAGTGTCTTACGCATGTTGAACACCTCCGGGTTAATGAATTATGTCCCATTGTCTGCTATAAACCTGCGCGCGAAGGGGTGTCTTAGGTAGAAATCTTCCACCCAGTCGGCCACTGCTTTCCCCGTCTTCTTTAAGAGGGCTACGGCCTCTACATAGCCACTGAGATTATCCCTTGCATCCAGGATGTATCTAAACCCATCCGTCGATACGGGCATAACCGCAAGATCGAGGTGAACAAGGTGTCCGGGTTCCAGTACCCGAGTGGGTCTAAGGGGCTCGTAAACTCGCACGGAACTCCTCTCTTGACATATCAGACACGTCTGACAGTACGTTGCGACCATGCCTGCCATTCCTGGCCAGAAATACAGGGGCACGATCTTTGCAAGTGTCCCCTTTGACGATCGGTGACCTCCAACTAGCCCATCATGCATTGCCTGACCTACGTCCAGCTGCCTAGACCTCCCACAAACAACTCGCCTAGGAGTCATCCCTTCCTCTTTCTTAAACAGGTGGCCATTTCTTAAGACATACTTCTCAGCTTCCTCCCTTGCCTTGGAGCTGACTTCCGAGGGTTGTTTGTTCCCTACAAGCAGCAGACCGATTTTTCTAAGGACGCCCTCATACATATGTATGAGGAATAACTCTTGTTCCTTCCGATCCGTATCCTGCTCTTACCGGGTCTGGTTGACTAGGTAACTGGCATTCCTTCTGCGCCCAGGTTTCGGCCAACGTCATCACGACGTCCCGTCTCCCTTCCACGACCATTGCCATCAGTTCCTCTCTGGCCCTAACTTCTGCTCCCCACGAGTCCTTTTCCTCCTTGCGCCTGACCGTGGTGACTGGTCCTTCCCTGAGTTCTGCAACTACTGCAGGCGTTCCCTTTTCCAAGGTCTGAATCAGCAGCTGGCCTGTTGTAAGCGTTGAGTCGGCCATTTCGTTATCCACAACAAGGGTCCCCCCTTCGTAATCTAGGAAGGCGTCAATTGGTTTCACGTCCTCTATTCCCTCCGGCGTGATGCATACCCTACTCAGCCCATCCGCCCTGTTTCGAAGCCCTATGATCCACTCGACCTTGTAGTTGAACTGCCATATGAAGCCTATCCATCAGTCGACGGTCGGATCTATAGGCTTGTAATTCTTCAGTGCCCCGACAACATTGGTGGGATCGATCCTTAAGATGAATCGTCTTCCGAACAGATATGCCTGGAAGGTCTTCAAGCAATGTAGGATGGCTAAGACCTCCTTTTTGAACTGCGAGTACCGCCGTTCTACCGAATTCAAGGTCCTACTCTCGAATCTGATCGGTCTTTCCTTGCCCTCCTTGCTTTTCTGTATCAATACGGCTCCTGCTACCCTTGGGTCGCCATCTGTCTCTAGGATGAACGGCCGTCCTACTTCGTCATTGAAGCAGGGTGCAGCTAAGATAACCTGATCGGACGACATAATGTCTTTCAGGGTCTGGGATGCCTCTTCCCTATCCTCGGTCCAATCCATAATGCCACCTTCCCAAATCATCGCGCGGATAGGTTCTGCTATCTTTGCGAAACCTTTGATGAAGATCCTCCAGAATCCAACCACCCCTAGGAAGGCTCGTACTTCCATCGTGGTACGCAGGGGTGTCGGCCACTGAGAGATCTTATCTGTCTTTGTTGGGTCGGGTCTCCTCCCATAGGCCCCACAACGAAATCCCAGTATAGTTACCTCCGGGATAGCCAGGATGTTTTTTGGCCCACTTGCGGTAATATTATAGAGCAAGAACCGTTGTAGGAGATCCTTGATATCCTGCAGGTGATCCCAGACAAATTTTCGCACACCTGGCTCGACCTCTGTCTCGTCCTTATACCTTGCGCCTTTTACAGGATTATCATCTATATACGGTTCACACATCTCTGGAAACATATCCCCTGTGACGGCGAGCATCCTCCTCTGCGCCTCTGCTACCGTATTTGTGAAACCCATAGGGGTCACTTGCATCTGCAACTGTCCTACGGGGGTGTGCATTGCGGTGTACAGTCTATCCCTCGCGTCGAGCGGCAACCGATCATATCCTGAGTACAAATCTATCAGGGAGTAAATGCTCCGCCCCGCATGAGACTCTGCCATTAAGTCGGTCTGTGGAAGCGAGCCTGCGTCCCTTAGGCTAATTGTTACCGCATTGAACTTTTGCAGGTCCTGGATCCACCTGAGCGTCTTATTGGGCTTCCTGAACATGAACCACCTGTTCGTGTAGGGGGATGCGGTGGGTTCAGCCACGAAAGAATCTATCTTGGCTCTAAGTAGGTCGGTGACCTCCGCTGTTATCCCAAACTCATAGGCGGGCCCTTTATCATTCCAACACTCGTGCTGATCGGTGTGGATCCTGACAGGGGGAACTAGCTTTGCGTCCAATCGCCCTTTCGGATGATCGTTGAAAGCGAAAGCTAAATAAAACTCATGACGTGCCTTTCTTATCAACTGAGTTTCTTTCGGTGTTAGGAACCCTTCCACTCCTATTTTCATGGTATCTGCTACGTCATCTGGTATGTGATGACCTTCCGTTGCGCGTCTCTCCCTTATAACCTGTAGGATCTCCTCTTCCTTTTCCATGACCTCTTCCCTTGATGTTTCTACTAGGATCGAGACCGGCTTGACCTTCTTCCCTACGGGCTTATATTTTCGCACACTGCCCTCTGGGATCGTTCTCCTAAAAAATGAACGGTCGGGACCGGCCTTGCTACCTCCAAGACGCGGGGCTGGATGCTGACTAGCTTCCCATTCAGACAGTAGGCCTTTCGGACCCCATCCTCAAATCTAGCAAGCGCTGCGGGATCCACCCCCACTTTGTGGTACCTGATGGCCTTAACGAGTTGTAACAAACATGGGATTTCAAGCACCACCTCCAACGTTTCGTTCCGGCCTTCCTTTGGTTTGGGCAGGGTAGCCCCAAGTTTGACTTCCGACTCTTTTTATGCCACCATAACTTCCAGGGCCTCATCCTCTTGCCTCCTTTTCTTCAGGGGTAGCCCCATCTTGATCCACTCTTTCTTGCTAAAGACTTTCTCAATCATGATTTCTACTCTTTCTCTCATACCTTCCATCCATGAGATTGCGCCTTTCCGTGCACTTTCCTCAAACGTCGGCAACCAGGTTGCCAGTTTACCCTTGGGAGGGTCCCCTCCCGTTCCGAGGAGTCGGAGGAGTTCTCCGCGACCTATCACCGGATCCTCTATGTCTATCATGTACGTGCCGTCATGCAAGTGCATGCCAATTATTTCTACATTGGCGCACCAAGGTCTCCCAAGGATTATGTCATGGTCCATTTCTTCCATGACGGTCATCCATTGGAAAGACCAGATGGATTCCCGAATTCCTGCCCTGACCGCGCATTTGGTGACATACCCAGTGAAGGGAATTTCTTCGCCTGCTCCCCTGATACTCCCTGCTACTTCCTTGTTTACTGTGCACCCCGTGATCATTGCGAAATCCCGTTGTATGAGGGTAATTTCTGCGTCGCCATCCACTAATGCATCGGTGTGGTGGGTTCCGACCTGGACTTACAGTTTTCCTGCAGGCAGTGTGTGGAAGCTAAGTTTAGTGCCGGGCGGCGCTCTCATTACTTCGCCACCTTCGCGGTCCGACAGACTCAGATGAATATCGGCAAAGGCTTTTTCCAAGTCTTCCAGGCCTCATGGAATGCTTTGGAGGTTAGAGACTCCTTGTGGCGCCTCTGCCTCCTCGGGTCCTTGTTCCCGTGGTTCCGGAGCCTTCTCTACTTCTACACGTCTACGCGTCAATAGCTGTCTGAGGCCCTTGAGCAGTCTCGCGCTTGCCTGCAGCATGGTCTGGAAGGATATTGACACCATGGTGCCCAGGAGTTTGCTCAGTGTGTCATCTAATTCGGGCAGCGTCAGAATCGGAATCTGGTATCTGAACTTCTTTTTTGCGGTCGTGGCTTTGTCTACCGGTTCCTCTTCCCTTGTTTTTCCATAGACCTTCTCCTGTTCCCCGGCCTCAGTTTCCTCCTAATCCGCACTAGCCCCCGCGGCTTCTTCCATTACTGTGTCTCGGATAAGCTTCTTTTCCACGCCAGCCCGTCAGGTAGTGATATTTACCCTATCCTGCCCATTGCCTTCTAGGATAAAATTGCCCTGTGGTCCCCGTCCCCTTGGCTGGTCCCAGACAATCTCGGCTATCGACTCTGCTTCTACGGCAGCTATCTCTAAGTTATTAAGGAGGATGACGGCTTGCCGCATACCTCCTGGCGAGTTCCAATTGACACGCTCTCCCCTGGGTCCGAGGATCTCGCCTTTGAGGGACCTGCTGCACCTCTGCCGCTCGATATCGTGATTGAGTCTCGGACAGGCCCGTACGAAATGCCCAATCATGGTGCAATACTTGCATTGTTCGTTGGCCGGGTCCCTTCTGCCAAATCCCTGGTTTGCTACACTGTCGGGACCACGGCTTCTTGAGGCGGGAGCGCGGGTCGGGATACTTGTGTCTGCATCACTAATAGCGCGCTTTCCATTCTTTCTATCTTATTGTCAACCTCGTGCACCCTTTCATGCAGGCTCTCTATTCCCTTTTTGACCTTATCCCCCGTTTTCCCGGTCAGGTCTATAATCTCCCCTTCCTTAAGCAGGGTCAGGATCTCCGTTACCACTGTCTTCTCTGCAAGATCTGTTACCGTAATGAAATCCACATCCCTTGTGTATTCAAACTTACGGGTTTGCTGGTATGCTGACATAATCTTATCCTTTTCAAACTCGGAGAACTGCCTGAGGAAATATTTACTCATTATGTGGTCCGTTACCCCGGGAATTCGCAGCACCACTAACGTAAATACCTTTAAGAAATCGTTGTAAGTCGCATAGTTTTTCCTCTGGACTGCTGCTAATTCGGCCTCTGTTGCCATTTTCTCTGCCTGTAGGTATTTTCTCATCATCTCGTTCCTGGTTTCTTTCCAGGATCCACTGGACGCGACGATGGCCATAATGTCCCTTCCCAAGCTTAGCGACATGTGTTGCCCTAGGTGCTCCATCTTTTCCTCTTCCGTCCATTTTAGGAAGGATGCTAGGTTCTCATAGTCTATCAGAAACTCCGTAATGTTTGCCCCATCGAACGTGAGTTTTTTCTTTGCATCTACGAGGTATCCCTGGTTCTTGTTTAGTGCCCGGGTGAGGGTGGTGACTATCCTCTTGAGACCACCTTCGGAGCTACCTGCTTCTCCAGCTGCACTGGTCCCTTCCCCTTCCGTGCTTTCCCTCTGCTTCTCCCTGGTTTTCGGCGTTCCTTCTGGGTCAAACCATCCTAGCACCCTTTCCCTAAGGCTCCAGAGTCCGCCGCACGCCCCTGTTACTTTCGGCATGGCTGACAGTCGGCTAGTGCGGATGTCGATGGCAGGCGGGGTCATAGCGTTTTCCGTTCCCTCTGCCAGGGGGTCGTTCTTGTCCTTCCCCTTCTTGCTAGGCGTTCCTTTGTGGCTATTATCCTTCCCCTCACACTTGGCCTCGTCCTGACCGGTCCTGCGTCCCTCACGTGACCCTGCGCCCTGGGGGTCCTCCTCATCCCGGCCATCATCTGCTCGATAAGCCTTGCCTTAAATTCTGCAGTCCGCTTTTCTATTTCTGCCAATTTACGACTGGCATCCGAGACTTTCGTCTTTTTTGGGGTGGCTCCTGCTGAGTTCCGAGGGCTTGTTCTCATATCGTTTCCCCCTTCCTTGTTTTCCTGAGGTCCCCTTTTGCTACCCCGAACTTTCCCCGAGCTTTCTCCAATTGAGGCCTCCTTTCCGTCTTCTCGGGTTCCTTCCAGTTTGGCTGACTCTCGATCCCTGATTGATCCCTTGTTTCGTTCCCCATCCCCATTCGTGCCCTGATTCCCTCCGCTCTGCTGGTCATCGATCCCTTCCTTAGTCGCCATTTCTTTACCTAGCCTGCACATGGAAAAAAACATTTACGAAAAAAATGGTCGGTTGTTCATAACTGCCCTAGTCCCGGCCCTAAAACCCGCCTATTCCCATGTTTTTTTGCGTCTCACATTAATCGGTCCGACTCTCCTGACTTTTCTTTCCCAGGGCGTCCTTCAGGTTTTCTCCCGCCGGGGAACTTGCCGCCGCTGCTTGGCATTTTATTACTGCCGCGCTTTGGCTCTTAGGGCGGTGTTTGAGCCCAGTGGCCTCCTTATCGAGGATGACCCTTTTGGCTTTTCGACCTCCAAATGCCCCAGAGTTTTCTGGTGCGGGTGGTTTTCCTAGTTCCTCCTTGCCGCGTTATCGGGTCGGACGGTACTCCAACCACTGCCCCCCTCTTTTTTTGGTGGTAGCTGCCTTCTTATCTTAGTACTCGTCCCTTATTTCCCTATCTTTTCCCGACGCGTTTTCTCATGCTGGTCCCTCAGGCCTGCCTTGCTCATTTGGTTCTTCGAACAGGTCGGCCACCCCAGCAAGATAGTTTTCTCCCATCTCTATTTCCCTAACGATTATTGGTTCATACTCCACAAACGCCAAGCGAGGCAACCCGAATATCAAAATTTCAATCAGGTCAAGTAATTCCCAGGCCTGATTACCCCATAACGGTCCATGCCAGACCGACACGTCGTAAAACATCCCCGTTGTCTATGGTCGAAAGTGGTGAATCCAGACCAGGATCGAATCCACAAGGTCCCTAGCCCTCTCAAGGCTGCCAAATACTAGGTCCACCATGAAGCGGGGGACTCGGCACCTCAGCCCTGTCATTGGGGTCTTAAACTCTTGCCAACCTCCTACTTCCACCCGGGTCCTCAACCCTACATTCCTCGTCCCTCGCACTTTCTGGCCTACTCGGTTCAGTACCCTAGTAGACCTTCGAAAGATTGGTAACAACCCATGTCCTAGTGCCAGCTCCGTTCCTAACATATGCCACCCAAGCTCTGGCAGGTATACGGCTCCCGTCACCCTGAGGTCAATGTACAGATCGTCCCCTGACCCCCTATTAATCCTCATGCCATCCCACAAACATTCCACCATCATGAACGCCTGGTCCCTTCCCAGGGTCACGTCTCTCCATTCGGTATCAATCCCTCGGACCCTGTAGCTTGTCGGGAGCGATACCTCCCATCCGCCCCCACATTCCGTGGGTGGCCGCGGGTGCGTGAGCCGTCACGACATCCGGGCGCGTCTCATCGCCATTGTCAATTAGTGATCCCTTGCACAGTTTAAACAGCAAGCGAGTTTGCTTATTCCATCCATTCCCCGACCCTTACCTGAGCAATTCCTTGGTCCTTATCTCAATGCCTCTTTCCCCTTCTATCTCTTTCTTTTTCTCGGCTCTTTTACCAGCCTGTTTCTACTCCCGTCGGCTCATACAATCGGTGTAAATTGTCCACGTACGTCATCCCCTGTCTTATTTCCCGCCGGACAACGCCCCATAGAACTTCATCACCTACGACCGGGGCCCTTGGCCTGGTGGTAAAACCGGCGCGCAGAGTCCGCAACACCTCATACTTCTCCTACCCGCTAAATGGTCCCATTTCTAGGAAGGCTCGGTAGTATTCCCGGTGTATCATTGTGTCCTTATATGTCAGAGTGGCAAGGTCAGCTACCGCGCGTCTGAATCAGTCTGATAAGTTCCACTCCGCCTAGCCTTTCCAGGAGGAAGGGCAGCAGTCTCATCCGGACATTCTCACTGGGCAATTCAAAGCTCCCGACCATGGCTACCCTAAGGTCTGCTGTTACATCATCCATCCCTGGGTCCGCGAATTCGATTCCCGCCTGCCACACCAACTGCCACGCCCCTTCGAACATGCTCAATGGATTTTCTCCTGACGCCAACATAACTCCAAACTCCCGCCACCCATCCTCTGACATATGCAACCGCCCTTCTGCACGCACATGCCCCCACGGGTCCGGGTTCCATTCCCCACTCTCGTTCGCACGCCACTCAACTTTCGTTACTAAGTAAACCATGTTTTCCGCAAGTTCGACTCCGACCCAATCCGCCACCTGGTGCCAGCCTCCACTCGCCGCTGGCAAGCTAACCTCTATTCTGCCCGGTACTTCCCTAGGCGGTTCAATGCCCAAGGGGCGTTCCTAAAGGAACGTCCTTCTTCGCGTCATCACGCACTCGCCTTTGATCTCTTGGCTCGCAGTCCGCACTGAACCCTACAATGGCTAGACATCCCATTCCCTTATCTTAGCAATTTTTCCCATATTTGCCTGGCCCCCCGGCTTTCCTGCGCTTAGTCAAACCACAGTACTTCGAACAGTTTGAACACATCATCCACATAGCAAGGTGTTGCTGCTACCTCACGGCGGATTATGGCCTCCTTAGTTTCCGGGGCCACCTCCTGCCGGTCATTCCTTTCGATATCCAAAATGATAAGGACCTCCCGGGTTCTATCGCTATGGAAGGGTCCGAATTTCAAGGACGTCCTATATAATTCCTCTGCCAGCCATACGCAGTTCACGTCTATTCGCTCCATCGTGTCGGCTACCTCTATTACGTGATAAGAACCCCCAAACCAATCCGCCACGAATTCAGGGACCTAGGTCTTGATTTGGGCGCCAGGTGGTTTAAATTCCTTCCATCCTCCCATCACGACTCTGCCGCTGACCGTATCTCAACCTTTGTTAGCAAACCATTCCCCCGCCTATCGAGCCCTTGCCTCAGCGTCCCCTAAAAGCCACATCGGGTTCTGTCCTGCCACGAGCGTTGGGCAGAATAGGTGCCAACCTTGCTCAGAGAGAACGATCGTCCCGACTGATTTCACCCTTCCTTCCACAATCTCTTCCCATCCTTCCTCTTCCCTCAATGGGTTCCAGACACGCTCTATCCATAGGTACGATAGCTCCGGCACAATCTCATACCCCCGCCAATCACGCGTGGTCCCCTTCCATTCATTGCTCGGCGGTATTGACATCTCTACTCCCCTTCCGACTCGTCTTGGTTCCAGTGTGCAGTCCCATAGCTCGAGTTCCCAGGCCATCGCTCCCTACCTGCACATAGTCGACAACCCGTTTTCCCCAGGTAATCCCCCCCCCCTTCAGAAGTCCCAGTCCTCTATCTCGTCCCCGTCCTCCTCATCACTGGAATCCTCCTCCTCGTCCAAGAATATCTCTTTCACCCCTTCCAAGAAGGTTTCCCCCGCCGCCATGTTTCGGTAAACTATCTTCCAATACACCGGACTAGGAACAAAAACTTCGTCCGCGCTCCGGAGGTTTAACACCTCAGCTAATTCTTCTGCCCAGTTTCCTTCAAATGGCCCTGCCTCCACCGATAATCTAAAGAAGTTTTGTCTAGCACCTTGGTACGGCCTCAGGCGTGTCATCGACTGGCATATTCGTTCCAATCTATCCCTGGTCCCAAAGACTGCATCCACTAGAAACGGGGGTAGCATGCATCTCATTGTCCTAAGGGGGCGTCTCATATTTTTCCGGTCCCCGAGTTCCACTCGCACCTCCATCTTTTCCATCTCCATTTCCGCCCGCTGACATGCCGCCCATACCACTTCCCGCTCCGCTTGCATAAACAACTGATCTGGTGCCGTGCCCAATACTAGTCCCACTACCATTGCATTTTCCATTTCCTGAGACACGTAGACCCATCCTCGAGCTTCCACCGTTCCCCGAAATTCTAGGTCCATCAGGCTGGGTGAGAGTCTTGTCAGGCTGACCTTAGACCAAACTGTCTCTATCTAAAGGAACGCGTCCTTTTCATCCAGCATTACAGTTTCATAGGCTGGTTCCAGGTCCGTCCACGTCCCTTCCTCCAGGAGAACAATAGATACCCCTTCCCTTACGTCTATTGGCATTTCTGGCCCACTAGAATAGACAGGAGATGAAACCCGCCGCGCTATCTTGTTTCCCGACGCTTGTCCTGTTTTCCATATGAGAGCACCACACGGCCCCTCATGGTCTTGATGGTTTGCTTTTCCTTTTCTAGATGAGAGTTGTTTTCAGACCCATCATTCGGGTCTCCCTAACTTTTCTTACCCATTTCCCAGGTGCCATTGCCCTACCATATCCCCAATCGATCACCAGTGGTTAGCATTGCTTCCTCAGGGTTCCTTTTCCTTCCGACTCCTATCCAGCCTTATCCTCATGTTCTCTCACTCGTGCAGACTCAGGCAGGGGGTAGGAATAGACTAGAGGTTCTGCTCCCATCCCAACATCCATCAGGCAGACTCTACAGAGGAAGACACAGGAAAAAAAGAAAGACTCAAGCAATCATCGCACACTGGCCGGTCATCTCCTCACCGGCCTTTTTCCCGGAAATGGTCTCTCCACTGTTACTATCGGCAGAGTTTTACCCCAAGCCTCAAGCACAGCTCAACCGTCGTGAGCGCAGTACCCAGACTCCAGTGGGGGGTCGCCCTCACCTTCTTGCCCAGAATACCCCATCCCGACTTGCCGCTCATGTACCCACCGTTAATCTCGGGAATCACCCCGCACATCTCGGTAGGGCCATTGGAGTCAACCGTCCAGGCACTCACTTCCATCGGTCCGATAAGGAACAGCCTTTCCCAAACCAGGCTACGAGAAACTACTGATCGCCTCCCAGGCTCCGTCTTTGCCCTCATGCAGTGGTGCTTCCTCCGCAAGTCTACAGGCTAGGCCTCGCCTGAGGAACGTTTCACACCCCGCCCGACAGATCAATTGAGCCGAAGCCCGTCACCGTGCGGACGAGAATGCTAATAAGCACTCGACGTGACAAACTCCCGTTAGACAGCTCGGTGGCTTGACCCCCGCATACGAACAAATGGCAGTCTGCAAAGAGAACGATGTTTAGCAACCCGCAGTGGCCGGTGCAGACCCCCCCTTTCCTTCCAAATGGCAGGACGCTCGAAATCCCAATCATGCAATCACAAGTCCCAAGTGGGACACACATAACACAAGTGCCTTTCCCCTGGTGCACCCAGCGCTTCCTACCCATAGCTCACAATTTTTCTCTCGGGACAGTGCGTGCCACTCACCCCTAACATCCATACACAGTGCCTGGTTCCTTCTCGTGAGCATCTTCAAAGGTGAGCTAGTTTTTCCCGGAGTCTAGCAACTCCCTTCATTCCCTTATCTTTGCTTGTGTGTCCGTTCATAGGGCAGGATTGTTCCTTCTCAATTTCCCTTTGTGTTCATATGGGGTTCCTTCAAGCATTAAATGTGGTGCATGGAGCCCGCTGGGCTCCGGAGAAAAGGAAAGAGAGCACCCGTGTCGGTTGGATCACTCCGCCGCGGGATTTTCATCGGAACCCGGACTAGCCCGGAATCCCAATCGCCTGCCAGGTAACCGGAAACCTTCTTTCATACGAAGAGGAGGGGTCGACCTGCGGCTTGCCCAAGGCTTCCCCGGTCTGACGAACATCAACCCGAGGGAAGGAGGACTAGAGTCACCTCCAAGGGAGACTGCTGATCAAATGTGCAACATGCATGTTCTTCCTCCAGGCCTGGCCTTGCCATGCGCCCAGCCACCCTCAAATCTGATTCACTCAAGGGATAGAGCATACACAAATCCATATTCCTTATCTTCACGGTCATGCGTCGGGCCCCCCCCTCGAGACCGTATGGGTCAATTTAACCCAATGCTCGTCACCTCCACCATTTTTGTAGGGGTCGTACCCTGAAGGACTTTCGAGCCTGAGTCGACCCCACTGCGGGTCCCATTTGGCTCGACCCGCCCACGCTCATGCTCAGGGCGCAGGTCGTTCATCCCAGGGGCATCCCCACCTAGTGCTTTGAGATGGATGGGGATGGGCCTTTTGCGAGAGGGCTTTACATTGGGGGATGTAGCTCCGCTCTCGATGGTAGCTCTTTAGGCACTCGTGGCGTTTGCTTGATTCATTTAAGTCTGACCAGGCAATTGCTCCTTCCAATACGCAGGCAGTCCAGGGAATTCATTGAGAGTTTATCTTCATTTCGTGTGCAGGCCAAGCGTCGTCCATTGGACCACACACCTTTTCACTAAGCCTAGCGACTCAAGACCGCCCCTGCGGCATCCTCGGGGTGGGGTGCCACCGCCCGGACCCCTAGCCGATATATTTTTTTTGCTTGAGTCACTAGTGTTGCATTCACCTATCCAAGACCATCTGTTGCATACTGTAACGTGCACACCAGAACAAGAACTGACCTTTCAATACTAAGTATAAGATAGCACAACGGAAGACTTAGATACCAGTGATCCGAACAATCAATGTTGCAATGCAGTCCTGAACATACATCATCATCATCATTACATGGTGTGAAATGGGCCTGGCGCTTCACACAGGAAGACTGCGCCAGCCCACACCATACACAGACGAAGAGGAAGGGGATAGACGAAGAGGAGGGGGAAGATGGGAATGTCGTCAACACCAAGTCTTCGGCACAAGCCCAAATAGTCCCTCGTCGAAATGTCTGAATCCGAAATGTCAAGTCTGGATCCAATGTCCACAAGTCTCAAGTCACAACTCTGTCTCTCTCTGTCGTAGTCTGAGAAGTCAGGTGGCGAGAGGGTGAGAAGAGAAGGTGGACTTAGAAGAGGAAGAAGAAGAACTCTCTCTCTCTCTGTGTCCAGTACTAACCTGTGAAGTTGGCGTCTTGATGCAGGTACCACGAAGATGAAGCTGGCGCAATGGCGCCACAGGTAAGTACCACTGGCCTCTGCCAGTCTCTCTCTCCCACTCTACGATCTACCACCTACCAGCGCCCAGCGTTGAAGACTACAGCTACAGCTATGGCGCCCAACGTCGAAAACTACAGCTAGCGCTAATACCACCTAGCGCTGAAGACTACTCCAGCGCTCCTCCTGAGTGCTGCGGCCGAAATCCTGAAGACTACCTCGTGCCTACTGAACTACCTACCCGTGAAGTGCATGGGAACTTCCTATGTACTACCGGGTGTGCCTCTTGAGTCTGCCGAAGGGAGGCAGGGGCTGCAGCTGCAGCTCCTGCTCAAACTCGTGAGGAACAGGCTATTGCTGGCCTGTTCCGCATCCCTGTTTACGTGCCTGAGTCTTAGGGGCAGGTCGAAACAATGAGGGCCTGAAAATGGCCCTCCGTTTCAGGCTGAAAACTCTGGGTCTGAAAAGACCCAGAAATAG